ATTTATCGTTTATAGGCACTTTTTGTTACGTTTGAAAAATTATACTAGTAAAGGGTCGTCGTATGTGAGTTGCAGCAGCTTATTCGGGCGTTGTATAAGCTGTGAATTACATTTATGGATATTAATTCCAATATTAGCAAAGATAAAGTTTGTACGCTAATCTATAAAACTACTAATTCTATTCCGATAATTCTTATGCTGATTGCTAGTCAGCTATAATTTAACGCACGCTCCATACAGTGGGGTGATCGCCTGGACAACGTAAGAGGAGATATACTCATTGAGTGGGCGGCGGGACTGAACCTCATCATTTTGAACCGGGGTTCGGTCAGCACCTGTGTGCGGTGGCAGGGGGAGTCGATAGTCGACCTGACGTGGGCGTCTCCCTCGGTTATCGACCAGGTGTCAGGATGGAGGGTGGCGGAGGAGGTGGTCACTTTGTCGGACCACCGCCACATCGTATTTGATGTGGCTATCCGCCGCACGGGCGCAGTCCCGGACCGCCGCAGTAGCGGCCCTCCGCGACGATGGGCCCTCAAGCGGATGAATCGAGATATGCTCGTTACCGCAGCCATCGTCGCGGATTGGCCAGAGGAAGAGGAAGTACAGGTTTTGTCCGATCCAGAAGCCGCAGGCTGCTTGGTTCCGTGGCATTATGACTGACGTCTGTGACGCGTCGATGCCACGGGTCAAGCAGGGGGGTGGGAGAGGTTCTCTGTACTGGTGGACACCGGAACTCGAGCAGCTTCGCACAGCATGCTCGAGAGCCCGTCGCCGGTTCCAGAGAACCCGAAGACGTGCGCGAGCCACAGCCGAGGAGATCGCTGAAGTTAGGCGCGAGTACGGCGCTGCCGCTAAGGCCATTAGCCTTGCGATAGCGGAAGCCAAGGCTCGGTCCTGGAGGGGGCTCATAGAGGGACTGAACAGGGACCCATGGGGGCGCCCTTACAAAATTGTACTGGGCAAGCTCAGACCGTGGGTCCCGCCGCTGACGCAGACCTTGGACCCGGAGTTTGTGCGAGGAGTGGTAGATACCCTCTTCCCCGGGGACCGGGTCAGTCCCTCGCGCCCTCCGTCGCCGTCGGAACCATTCACGTGGTCCGACGACTTTGACGTGACGGAGGAAGAGCTGGACCGAGCCGTGAAGCGACTCGCCGCCCGCAACACCGCCCCGGGCCCTGATGGGATCCCGGGCCGAGCATGGGTGTGCGCTTTGGTGGTCCTAGGGAATAGGCTGAGGCGGCTGTTTAACAGCTGCCTCCGTAATAGCGTATTCCCTGCCGGCTGGAAGGAAGCCAGGCTGGTACTTATCCAGAAACCTGGCAGGGCCGCAGATTCTCCCTCGGCGTTCCGACCGATATGCCTGTTGGACGAGGTGGCGAAACTCTTTGAAAGAGTTATCGCCGCCCGTATCAACCAGCACCTGTCGCGAGTGGATCCCCGACTTATCAGACAACCAATTTGGCTTTCGACAGGGACGCTCGACGCTGGACGCGATTGCACGCGTCCGCTCCTTGTCGGAAGAGGTTGTCTGTCGGGGGGGAGTGGCGTTGGTCGTCAGTCTTGACATTGTCAACGCCTTTAACTCTCTTCCGTGGTGGGCGATTAGGGAGGCACTTGTGTATCACCAGTTGCCTCCCTACCTGCGGGATATCATCGGGGTGTATCTCTGTGACAGGTCCATATCGTATATGGGTCGGGATGGCGAAGATTGTCGAAGAGAGGTCACGTGCGGGGTTCCCCAGGGGTCGGTCCTGGGACCTCTTCTGTGGAACCTCGCGTATGATGCCGTCCTGAGGACCAGCCTGCCCCCAGGATTGAGTGTCGTCTGCTACGCGGACGACACTTTGGTACTAGCTAGGGGGCATCGCTTCCAGGAAGTTCTGGAGCTCGCCGAGTTAGGGGTGGCTTGTGTCGTCCAAGGGATCAGCGGTCTGGGTCTAAGGGTTGCACCTCATAAGACGGAAGCCCTGTGGTTTCACAGGAAACGCAGAGGTGCAGTTCCCACCAGAACGCTTATTAAAGTGGGGGGAACAGAGGTCGAGGTCGGGCGGTACATTAAATACCTCGGCCTCACCCTGGACAGCCGCTGGAGCTTCGAGGAGCATTTCGAGCGGATGATCCCCCGAGTTCGCGGGGTGGCGGGCTCCCTACAGAGGCTGTTGCCTAATCTAGGGGGTCCGCGGGAGGAAGTTCGCCGCCTCTACTGTGCGGTGATACGATCCATGGCCCTCTACGGAGCGCCAATATGGGCCAAGCGCCTATCGGCCTCCTCCCGCTGCCGAGCGAAGCTCAATCAAGCGCAGCGGGTAGCGGCCATTAGGATCGTACGAGGTTACCGCACAATTTCGTCGGAGGCGGCGACAGTCCTGGCACGTTTCCCACCCTTTGATATCCTGGCGGATATGGACGCGAGGGTCTATGACCAGACTTGCGTGATCCGCCGGGGTGAGGGTGGGGAAGACCAGGATGAGCTCGAAATGCGGCGGAACGCCCACCGACAGGCACTGGTGCAGTGGCGCGCACGACTGGAGCAGCCGCGGAATGCGCGCCAACGCGCTGTCGGTGCCGTTCTGCCTAACCTTGAAGCTTGGGTAGGTAGGGAGGGAGGTTGCGTCACCTACCGACTGACGCAGGTACTCACTGGGCATGGTTGCTTCGGGGAGTACCTGAATCGGATTGGACGCGAGGAGACGGCACAATGCCAGCACTGCGCAGCCGACTGGGACTCCGCCCAGCATACGCTGGAAGACTGCCCCTCGTGGGTGTCTGAACGCGAGGTCCTGGTCGACCAAATCGGACGAGACCTGTCCCCGCCAGCAATCATTGCTGCCATGCTGGCGGGTGAGGAGGGCTGGGGCGCAGTGGTCTCTTTCTGTGAAGCTGTAATGCTCCAGAAAGAGACCGCTGAACGGGATCGGGAGAGGGCCGATCCCGAACGTAGAAGACGTCGGCGGCGATATCAGCCGTCGACGGGGCCGCGGGCCGCCAGAGAGTGGGGACCTCTGGTGGCAGATTGATTGCTGCGGTAGGGAATGGAATGGCCGGCCTGATTGCATTAAGATGCGATCGGGCCGCCATGCCGCGATTGAAGGGGGAAGTGTTCTCCCCTGGGATAGGGCCTGATTAGGCATGGTGTCAATTCGGGGAGGACCTGAAATAACATGGTCAACAAGTCAGCTATAATTTGTTAGCGTTAGTGAGCTATAATAATAAAAAGTTTGATATACGTCATATCATCACTTCAGATTCTAATTTATTGTGGCTTCTACGACTTTTCAAATGCACATTTGCAATTGTAATTTTAATCTGTCCTATCGTCTTGGGACAAATGAAACTAAATATTCATGTGTAAATATACAAATATCAACGTTGTGCTTTTTTTTTGTTGTGTTAAAAATGCTAAACAAAATTCCCATTTTGTTTAGCATTTTTAAGTAGATATTAATAAAAGTTATTTAAATAAACAAGAAACGAGCAAGCCTTAGAGTAGTCGCAAATGATGCAACATATTATCAATCTACTTTTTATCGTGGGAGAGACATGCTTCGGCATATACGGCCCATAGGGGTCAGCGGTCAGCCCAAATGAAGTGATACCACGATCTCACAGAAAACCATCATCATCACATCAACAGCCTCTAATAGTCCACTGCTGGACATAGGATTTTTTTTTGTTACTTTTCACCGAGTGAGTAAGGTTAACTCGTTAGTCTCTTGAGTTGAAGGTGTCAATGGGCCTTCAACTCAAGAGACGGTAGTATGCCTTTGGCGGTAGTAGTTACCTACTTGCCACCAGGTGACCCGTTTACTCGTTTGTCTCTTAAACAATGAAAAAAGTGTGACGGCCAAATCTAGCACAACACACGCTTATTGGTCAGCATTAAATAGAGCGCGCTTCCTCGGCTTCATTTTATAGAATTTCGTCCCATTCCTCAAATTGACTCACACAGATTGCAGGAAAGCGAGAGGAAAAATGTTACATGCTAAAGATTATATACTTAGGTATATTTAACAATTTTCTATTAATTACAATTTAATTTTTTATATTCACGCCATAAATATGCCATGCAAAGAACTTTTAGTTAACCTTAATTTTATTAAATTCACTTTTAACTATTGAATAAATAATTAATTAAATATCACATCATTAATATCTTGAGGACACAATCATTTTTTTACAACTTATACACAAGTACGGCGGTCGGAATAACGCTAAATTTTATCAAAATTATGTAACGAGTGCAGCTAAATGATTAATGACGTTAATTTACATTGCTTTCGCCTGCTCCAAACACTTACAAAGTGTTGGCAAATTTTACCGATTGCTATGTAAATTATGGTTTTGATGGACATGACATTTCGTTTTACGAAACTCTGTTTATAGGTAAATTAAGAATATATTTAAAACTTCGAAATTACTTTTAAGAAGAGCCAACCAAGCGTAAAGGCGTTCCTAAAAAGTTATAAATGGAATATATTAGGTACGTAATTTACTTTTTGCAATAGATGTTTAGATTTAATTTTTTATTTATTTATTTATTAAAAACACCACATACAACAATACTGGCAATATTAAATTATGCAATGAACGAACTTAATATACGAGTAGACACTTATGCACAAAATCGTCTATTATTAGAACAAGGGTTCTACAAATTCATAAAATGGTGAACTGAATGTGAACTAACTCTTAGTTCAGCTATCTACCCATCAGATAAGTTTGACTTGTATCCTGTGCCTAACATGGAAATAGAATAGTCAATATATTGACTTTGACCAAACATTGCTAAACCATGGCGAGCTGCTAGACTATTTTTGGTTAAATCATTTAAAATATTTATTATTCGGCGCCACCTAAACCGCGTATAAATACCTGTGTCAACATATTTTTAAAGTTGAACGAAGTTTTATTCATCATCTCGGCTTTGAAATGATATTTACAATATTAATTGTGATGGTATAGTAGATATCAAATTTATTTTGTGAGATTTCACTTACCAGTACGATAGCCAGCGTTGGACAGATAAGTAGCGAAGGTGTTCGTTTCATGTGTGGCCTGCCACATCGGTGATGAGCAGTTGTCATTGTTCGTATACACGTTGTGGTTATGAACGTACACCCCAGTGAGTAAAGAACTCCTGCAATAAACAAGTTTTATTGAGAAACTGATTTTTGTTCTCTGATTATTATGCAAATAAAAGATTATATTGTCAATGTAGTTTTTTAATAGTTATAGTGAGCTCTAATCCCGTTATCTTTGCTATAACTGATAAAAATCCCGTTCCTATTCGATATCAGAATCCTCCTTGAGAGTAAGATTAAATATATATGATACATTCGTTAATAAATTCCTTCTATACTCAAACAAGGTATGCTAAGGTCCTTTCCCCTTAAATACCATAAATTTTTCAATTCCTATTAATAATAATAATAATTCTTTATTGTCTTCTTACAATCACCAATCTATACAATTTTAACTTACATCAATAATTAACATTAGAAACAGTAATTGTAAGAGGATTGGTGTCTGAATTAGGCATGAGTCTGTAGCCCAGATCACCAGGCACTCACCCTTCTTAAACATTTATTTGCTGTCATTACATTATTAATGCAAATCAAGGAAATACATTTAAAGTTCAGAGAAGATATAAAAATCATAAGGATAGTAATACGTGAATACGAAATACATAATAAAAGAAAAGAAAAGGAGAAATAGAGAACATGCCGGATACCTCAAAGCATGTTTTGCGCGTGCGTGAATATGTGTGTGAATGTTTGAATGTATGAGTATATATGCGTGGCTGTAGTGCGCAAATAGTGTAAGATAATGTGTTTGTGTAATAAGTTGATTTGTTTGAGAAACAAAGTAGGTACCTAAAATAACCCGTGCTTAATATTATTAGCTATGTAATAAACTTTCAGTAGTACGATATTCAAGGCCTTTTAGCCATTGTATTATTACAGGTTTGCATGCCGATGATCGTATATTGAAAGAATGCGATATACTTTGATGTAGAGGGAGGCGCCCAGATAACAAGGTGAAATAGTGTTAAATTTGTTCATGTTACAGACTTTATCTTTTCTGTACTCCATCTTTATTAATTCCAATATCACACAAAGTCCTATGTTTCAGCAAAAATTTCAGTTATATGTTCAAAGTTAGACATAGTAGTGAACAAAAAGACAATATTTAAAACAGATGAGGTGAAACCTTCATCTAATTGGAATTCGGTTCGTAAGCCTGTTATTTCATGAAGTGGTAAATTTAGCCAAATAAATGACAATGAAAGCAACAATTTAATAAAAGATTAGGTGAGTAAACTGGTAACTGCATGATAGGTGTGAAAGCCATCGAATTAGTTAGCAATATAGTCGCTATAGACAGCCGTAACTGTCTAATAGAGAGGGCTATAAAAATTTGCAAGTGTATAATTCATTTGAGTGCGGTTGGTAATAGCCAGGGCTACATGTAATTTATTAATGTAATTATTTCTCAGAGAATGTTGTAAATACAAGCCAAAAACTTACCGTGACGGACAACACATTGGAGTCGTTGTATAAGCATGCCGAAACTCGGCCCCAGCACTTCTGATGGCTTTCATCGTTCTCGGCATAAAATTCAAGCTTCCCAACTCAACATCCTGATCATCAGTCAGAACTAAAATAATGTTGGGCTTCCTTTCTCTCGGCTGAGGGTATGGTATATAACCACCACTTTGCCATTTATTCGTGGTTTTGGGCTTAGACCTGGTTGAGTTTTCTCTCACCGACAAGTGTTGTCTCTCTTGAGACTTACTTTGGTTAACTGGCCTCCTTGCTGAATTCAATGTTTTCTCCATACTACTTTTATTCCAGTGCTTTTCAGGTTTCCGTGATTTATCATCTTTCTTTAGACTGTGAGGTTCTATAGTTCTGTTTACACTATCTTCCAGTGAGTGAACATCAGTCCCTTTCCGCCTATCTCTTCTTATTTCGTGTTCCCAGCGACGTCTGTCACCACGGTATCTTGAACTGTTCCTGTGCCTCAAGTTGCGTCTTTCGGGTAAATCCGTAAGAGTTCCATTAAATGTGGTTCTGTTACGATTGTTTTCTCTGTTACGTATTTCTCTGGATTTCGAAGATTCTTCGTCTTCATATGACTCTCTTCTTGCGGATATTAATATAAAATTCCACGTTAAGAGTAGAGATATAACCTTAAAATTCATGTTGACTGATTTGAGAATAAGTTAATATTGATTGTTGTATATTAGGTGTAATGCTATGTCGTCAGAGCAGAAGAATATGAACTAAACCGACGTCTTGTGCAGTGCCAGAGCATTTTCTACACCACCTGGAATAAAAAAAAAAGAATGGAGTCATGAATTGCCACACATTATAGCACCTACGACGATACGCAAGAAAATGGCCAGATGGTTACAAGAATCTTCATTCATTTCTACTAGGTACTAGTCTTATTTCAAATAAAAACTTAATCAATCGATTCAACTTTAAATGGTATCTAAGTTTCTTGGGAGCACTTCATATTAGTGCTTTAATTTTTGAGTGAGTATATTCCTCGTGTTATTAAATTAACGTAACCCTGTATCTGTCTGTGACCTCAAACTTTTAAACGGACTAATTTTGATTTTGTTTTTCTAGTTTAAATGGGGGAACTCGAGATTGGTATTGGGATAAAATGAATGTATCAAATAAACCATGTTACGAACTCGTTTATCACAAATCAACACGTAGATACGTATACAATCATAAAATATTTCGGTCTAATAAGCTAGAGAGTTTATAATCTTGATCAGCGACGCCTATTTCGTGTTTGCTCTGTATATTGAAATATGTTTCGCTACGTCGGCAATCAATATCGTAGCATTTAATAGCCATCGACCAGGGCATCAATCCCGGATTGCTTTTAACAGAATTGAACCGGTATTGGGCTTGCGACTAAATAACTGCGCATTTCCTAGTACGAGGGATAAAATTGATGTTCTACAATCTTACCAACCAAGTACACTGGCAATGCATTCCTGGAATTGACTCCCATTTATCTAAATACGAAATTATTCAATACTCACGATTGATTTGTGTTGAAATTAAATTTTCTTATCTTTACGTGTTTATATATTGACAACTATATTGAGAAATGTTTTATTTGAATACATATTGAATTTAAATGTCCTTTAAATATCTACTTATTGATGCGATGGAGTTGATAATGTTTATTTTTGCATATAATGCTTTATACCAAAGAATTTTTACTTTTATTTTTTATATAAAGTGTATAAAGTAAGCTGGTATAGCTTTTGGGTCATTTGTTTTAAATTTAATTATTATTGCTTTAAATACAGTTATGGTTAGTTGGCATAAAATTAAGAAAATCGAATGTTGTACATTTTTTCAATGAAGAACCTCACAGGTATCATGTGATAATAGTCAAATGTCAAGTCAATGTCAATTCAAAGTAGGTATTTATTACTATACAACGGTAATTTCATACTTTTACCCCTATTATAAGAACGAATTTTCCTATGAGAGTGTAGGCAATGGAGGAAAGTGATAAATAATAAATGAACTAAATTCCATATACCTATTTCATAACGAAAATTATGGGTCTCCTATTCATCTTCATTAAGTACCTAAGCGACAGTCTACGCGTGCAGGTCATCAGAATGGCGATGTGTACTCTTTGAACCCATCTTGATTTATGTGCATCCCACACCCGCACACGGTCTAATTGATAGGGGACTCCGAGGACGTCATATTGTCACACGATCCCCAATATTGTACTACCCTAGGCTATTTATTATTCCACCGTATGTTGTTGGGCAAAATTGTTGACACGTGCGTCAGTATACCTGACCAGTGTTATATAAATAATTAGAACGCTTAAACCTTGGGACATCTTAGATTAGAAGTAAATATTTAATGAAATATTTTAATTTTGATTTTTGGTAATTGAATGGCCTATCGAGACATTGAAACTTTATTTTTAGTTGTTAATTGATTGCCTTACAAGTAAAAAACGTTACTTATTATATTTTATCATATTTTTATTAAACATTTTTTTAAGTAAACTTTCCAAAAAATTCTTCCAACTTCAACGTCGATTTTGCTTAACCTATTGCCATGTAATTTAGAATATTTTGATTGTTTTATTTGGATCAAGACATTCTTTTAGCACTTAGAAATTTAAAGTATGCATACCTATATGGAAATTGTGCATATTTTTATAGTATATTGGACAAAGAAGCATATTGGTCACTATGACCTAACCTATGGAAAGTGATCCGAGGAATTATTGGGACTAATACCGGTCGCAAATTTCGGCCATCGTTCCACACGGCAAAATTTTCATCCCCATCACTTGGATAATTGGCACTTCACCATTGTGCACTTTTCAATACATTTTTTTGCCTCGCACAACTTTAATTTGTGGAACAAGTTCTGTGTGGTCATCGGTATATCCGGACCGATACTACCTTCAAACCTTCAAGAAAAGAGCGTCCTCCTTCTTCAAAGGCCGACAACGCGTTTGTGACTCCGGAGTTGCAGGCGTACATGGGTAGCGGTAGTCACTTTCTACCACGTGACTCGAAGGATCGTTTGCCCGCTCTTTCATAAAAAAAAAATGCGTTGCTGCCTGTCTGGAGAGAGGGAGGGGGTTAGGTGCTAGGTCGAAGAAAAGCAAGGAAAAATTGCTTAAAACCCGTTTTATGTAAAGATACAGATACACCAAGTTTATATTAAATTATATAATCAAAAGAAAACAAAACAAAAAGTAATCTGCACAATTCTTGTTTCGTAATTAAGCACAAACACATCCAACAACGCTCACCGGTGAGCGAAATTAGGAATTAAGGCTGTAAATTAATAAACGAGTGTTAATGCAAAGTATGAACAAAGCTGCCCTAAGCTAGTATCGTATTCTGCACTTTTATACCGTTGACCTTTTGTACATACAGCGGTGTGTACAGTGAATTAATTTCACTAGAGTTGGCGCGTTGATTTATGTTGATCTAGGGTCTATTAGTTTTATTTAAGCGCTTTACTTTTATAAACAAATTTAACGTAAACATTGCTTTTAGCGAGATGTTATTTATGAGAGGAAAACACGCTGATTAATAATATGAATGTAGATTTTGTCAAATAAATCGAATAACCCACGGCAACAGTACTTTCAAAATATATAGGGTCATATGATGCTTGCGTAGATGAAAATCGGATAGGTACTTCTGCAAGTTTTACGCCAGTAAGTAGGTAGTAACATATTTAACGAAATAAGCTTTCATCAAATAGTGAACACCCATCATGAAATCATTTATACGACTAAATAAAATGCGTTATTGAAAAATACAAAAATATTCAAATGCATTTGAATTGGAAAAATTACAATGTACAAAAAGACACAAAACGGCAATTATACAATAAATACATTTCATTTCAGGGTCAAGAAATATTTTAAATCCAATATATTTTAATCACTTTATTTAATTCTATTTTATAGTTATTCACAACATATTTTGTATACAAGAATATTATTATTATCCAATAAAATGTTCATGAATAGTAAATATGCGACGTGACGTGCGTGGATGTCGTAAGAGCCGTCTAAGGGACCAAAACTACGCAGGACAACAGCACTGCAAAGAGAAGGAAAACTTGACACAAACCCTAAACCAACGCATCTGGCTAGCGTGGTTAAAAAGGCCAAAACCTCCTCTCTCAGGAGAGGCCTATGTCCTGCAGTGGACTATTAAAGGCTGTTGATGATGATGATGATGAAATATGCGACAGTCAAATAAATAGTTTACTTAAAATTATACTCGTGTTTTTTCGATAAATGGCCAAAGTACTGTGCCATGCCACATCATCAATAATGTGTCTTACCAAACCGCCATCAAACCTAGGCCATTGGTCTTACATAGTAGAATAAGAAAAGTGCAAAACTATGCCGACGACAATCGATCGACAGTCAATTGATACAACATTAAAATAGCAGAATTGAGGCCTTGTTTATGCGTTTGCTGTCAATCGGCTCCTAAGTAACTGAAGGTTATTTGACACAACTTAGGTAACACATTCATACTGAACGGTCGGTAAGGTATGCATGTAAGTCATCTCTAATATTTGATAATTAATTTACGGATTTCTGATTGTATAGAATCGAATAATAAGTTCTGGATCGAAACATTACAACTGCAGATGAGATGGTTGATGATGATGGATGACTGATTTTTCTCCTATTAGTTGTAGATGATTCAATTATATGGGTAATATTGACACCTACTTCAACACCATCATTTAAAAAATGTGACCACAAAGGAAACATCGTTAGTATCTGATGTTAATTTCGGATCGATCGTGTTTTGTGGAAAAAATGTCTTAACAGACAAACGGACGACGAATTATCCTACAAGAGGATAAATTCCTAAACAAACCTGCCACACAGGAGAGGAGAATACAATTATGTCAATTATTTTCCATGACAATGTAGGTTTCTTATTTAAATTAGATACCACTCACTTTTTTCGCTCAGTAATGCATGCAAGAAATAATTATCTCATTTTGAGCCTCGTTTTATGCATAATATATCCCGAATAATACGTAATGTGTATTTGTTGTATGAGCGCTATGTTAGTAACAACTTGGAAGTAAACACCGCAGCACACATAAGTTTCCAGAATATTGTAGCTAGCTGCTAAACTTTAGCAAGTTGCAAAGTGGAACACTAATTAGATATTCAAAACAACAGAATGGTTGCAAATAAATACTGTATGGTATGGTAATGCTCAATAAATTGCAAATAATACATTATGTTAGTTAAATGATACCTATTCGTAATATAAATTAGGAATTAGGATGTATCATTTTGAATATTCGGAACAAATTGTCGCCTGCGGTATTTCCGGACCGATATGACATTCAAGTCATATTTTCTCTTCAAAGACCTGTAACGTACTCGTGGCCATTGAGTTCCATGTGTAAATGAACTACCGTAGTCACTCGCCATCAGGTGATCCAACTGTTTCTCATAAAAAAACTTTAACTGATAACCTGCCGTTTCCGTAGCATAGTTAGAAGACTCGTTATCAACTTTCTTTTATTTTATTTTTTTGACTTCATGCACAAAAATATACATCGGCAGAATTAATGCCTTTTACGTGTAATTATATAGTAAGTTTTGCATTATAGCAAATATAATTAATATCATGCG